AAAATTCATTGACCGCGGTTAAGAGTAGCACTAATTCATGGGTATAAACATAAATATTTAGAAAACAGTTTGATAGGGTTGTTCAGTTAGGTTCCTCCTAGGCCCATGGCCTCCCAAACAATAGGCTTTTTGTCAGATTTACAGTATCAAGAATGAATTCCCTCCTGTGAAGTGGTCCTCAAACCCAATCAGTTATTTGTACCCCTGTAACTTTCAAGCTTCTTTTGTACCAGTGGGCATCTCTTGCCCAGCATGTGGAGTCCACCATGGGTAGGACTATTGATGACTTTTTTCACTGAGTGACCTACATAGTACCTTCCAGCACTATAAGAGTTAGGCAGCAGTGGGGAGGTTTCTAGCTTGATTTCTCTCTGTGTTACAACCAAACTGTGTGATGTCTTTAGCAATACAGTCTTTCTATCTAGTTCTGATAGGTACCCAATAGGAATGGCAATAGCTTGCATTATTTTGGGGCCCTCTGGAGCCTTCCTGACCAATAATGCATAAGGAGGTATCCCACATTCAGCATTATGATTTTTATTTAATTCATGGTGTCCAGGAGCAGTATTGCCCCCTCATGAGAGGGCCCTCAATTCAAACACAAAATATTTTAAATTAGCTTGCACAGTTTTGAATTTTCATGTATTCTTCATTTGGTTAACCCTCACCCTCTCTTTTTTCCATCCCCACAAGTGATTTGAGTCTTTCTGCCCTCAGTATTCTCTCCACCTCTTCTCCCTTCTTACCCCATCCTTATTTAAACCTTTAGGCCCCGTTATTCTCCCCTCTTTTGTATTATGTGTGTTGTGCTATCTCTAACTCCCTTAAGACCCCCCTTAAGATCCATCTCTGTCCCGCGCGCGCTATATGTTCTTGCCGGCAAGAAATACACACACAGGACACTCGGATCCTTCTGCAGACAAGCTTTAATGCATCTTGAGAGTGGAGAGCATAAGCTTACCAGAGCGGAGGCTCTGAACCAAGAATCCCATTCCTTAGTAAAGGCTGGCAAGCCGCCTGGGACGTGTTACCCTATGAATGGCTTCAGCTCCTCAGGCCAAATGAGCCACGGGATAGGCAGAGATCAAAGGAATGGAGATTACCCAGTGCCTGTGAAGTAATTTAAATTTTGGTGTCTTCAGGCACCATTATTGTAATGGAGAATGCAGGGATGGCTCCCTACAGATCCCCCGTTTTTTATTAATTAAGTATAAGGCTTTATATTTTTACAAGCAAATAGGTCACCCATATGTTGAGGGATAGAGGCAGAGGTTGTACCTTCCCAAATCAAACATTAAGACTGTGTACAAGAGTCGCCATCAGGCTGTTAGCTTGACCCGAAGCGCTCTCGACCTGTCCTCTGCCGTTTTTCTGGGAAAGGGAGGCTCGGGCAGGCAACCCTTATGCAGGACAACGTACCTCTCAGAGAAGCCTGCATACTAGGCTACTCTGTGCGATGCCTTTGCTCGACACCCTCATGGGCTGCACAAACCAGACACTCTACCCTGTGCAATGAGCCTAGGCTCCGGGTGTGCAAGAGCTGTCTGGCCG